TGGGGGGCTTTGAGTCACTGAACGTGGCTGTTTTTACCCCATCCCTTTATTTGGAGCCAGACCCTAAATGTGATCTAAGCATGGGCCTGGGGCCTCGGGCAAGAGCTCCGTCCCTCCCTGGGCTGCAGAGGTTTGGAAAGAGAGGGGGGCCTCCTGTCCCCGACTTCACTCCTGAGCTTCAGCAGTGGGAGGATGGGCCAGAGCGCCTGACGGGGACGGGACGAGACAGTGTCGGGGCCGAGGAGCTGGGGTGCGCCTGGGACTCGGAGCGTGCCTCCTCCTGCCTGTGGCGGCTGACCATCTGTGTGAGTGCGTTCTTGGGTTGCTATAAGGAAATGCCCGAGTCTGGGTTTCACTGGTTATGCAGGACACCCCAGGAGGTGGGGAATTGGGCACCTGCTCACCGCAGGCCCTCGTGTGAGCCTCGGGAAGCTTGTAGTCATGGCGGAAGGTAACCAGGGAGCAGGAGTGTCACATGGAGAGAGGGGGCAAGAGAGTGGGAGGCAGATCTCACGTGAACTGAGGGAGGATTCATTCATCACCAGGGGATGGCATGGAGAGCCATTCCTGAGGGCCCCACCCCCACATCCCACACCCCCCACCAGGTCCCACTGCAACGCTGGGAATCACATTTCAACACGAGCTTTGGAGGGGGCAGGCACCCGAACCATATCACCACCCCTGAGGGCAGAGGGATGGAGGTTGAGATGCAACCAGAGGGCAGAAATAGGCTCACCCACCTGGGGTCCGCTGTGTGGGCTCTTCTGGGGACATGCATCTCCCTGGGTTTCCACACCCAGGCCCCATCCAGCCATCATCTGTGGGTCCTGGGGTGGGGCCCATCTGCCCATGCCTTCGCCTGGGCCATGGAGGATAGCCTTGTTTTGCACAGCGTCCCTGGGGCGGCTGCTGGAACCGAGCAGAACAGATTCATCTTCATTTATTGAAAGACGGGTTCCGTATCATATAACCGGAAGGTATGGCCACGGCTAGGCCTTCTGAGAAACATGCGACCCCAGGGCAGCATCAGCACAAAGGGCAGACCAGAGGGCTGCAGGTGGTCCCAGAAGAGTCAGTGCCCATTCGCTCTTGCCCTGCCCGTGGAGCCTGTTCTACGCCGGGCTCTGTCTTGGTGACAGGACTGTGGCGGAGACCACTGAGGTGAACTCCTGCCTCCTGCAGCTCGCATTCCAAGGGAAGCCAGGCCGCAGCCAGATAGCCGAGTAGAGTCAGCTCTGGGGCCGAGGGCAGTGAGGGCAGCAGAGACTAAGACAAGTGTGGAGTGGTGGGAACAGCAGGTGGGGACTGGAGGTGATGCTGGGCAGAGTTCTGCAGGGAAGGCCGGAACCGCAGGAGGGACTGCGAGGCGCATGTCTAGGGCCAAGCAAAGGCCCTGGGGTGGGCCTGAGGGGTATGCGAGGCCGGGGTGGCTGGAAAGGAAGGAGCAAGGGGAGGGGCTGGGCTGCGCCCAGGTGGGGTCCACCCGGCCGACAGTGCCGCAGGGTTGGTGAGGGCCTCAGCTTGTATCTGCTTTTACTGGGAGTTGAGGAGGCTGTGAGCTGGCCTGGACTTAGATTTTGTCAAGATCACGGCTGTGATGAGACTAGACAGGAGAGGGCGGTGGGGCGGTGGGGTGTGGGAGCCCGGACCCCAGGAAGGCACCTCTTCACCAGTCTGAGTGAGCCGAGTGGCTGGCTCACAGGGTGTGTCCACTAGCAGGATTCGTTGTCACTGTAACCTGGTAACTATGCTGTTGGATAGGCATGTGGGGCTGCTGTGACCATTTCACAGATGAGGAAATTGAGGAGAAGAGAATGCAAGAGTTGGCTCAGGGGTGGCAGAGTTGGTGACTTTTGACCTGGCACAGAACCATCTACATTGAGGCACATGCGTGCATGAGGTCCGGCCTGCACACCCCCTGCCTAGGGCCTTGGGGAAGGTGCATTGTGACATCACAAGGTCCCTGAGGCATGGCTGGAGTTGAGCATGAGCTTCCTAGATGCCGCTGTATTCCACCGCAGCTCCCCAGAGACGTGGCTGGGGGCTCACAGCAGCTGGATGTCCCTGCAGCCCTGCGCACTCTCAGGGCCTTGGCATCAGCATTTGACTAATTTACCAGGTCCCATCGCCTCTTCCACTCTAAGGGCATTTGGTGAGGGAGACATGAAGAAAGCAGCAGCAGGGAGTGGGTACGGTACTCTGGGAAAGTGAATCTGCCGTACAAGACCTGGAAATCACAGTGTCACTTAAAGATCTGCAAAAATGTAACACTGAAAACGTATTTTAAGAGACCAGCTGGAAAAACAGAAAAGACAGAGGTGTCGTGGAAGGACGTGCCTGGCAAAGCCCCTTCCTCTGTGCAGGCACCCAGCGGGCCCCTCCCACAGGGCACCCTCAGTCCTGCGGAGGAACCCGGGGAGGTGGGGTCACCCTGGTTAGGGATGAGGACTCTGAACCAAGGCCCCAGAGTGGTGGGATCAGGACTTACACATGGGTGCCTTGAGTGTCGCGGGTGTGAGGACAGAGAACACAGGCCCTGAGCCTGCTGCCCCCTCCAGTTACTGGCTGTGTGGCCTTGGGCAAGTTACTTCTCCAGCTTCAGCATCCACCTCTGAGGAAGAGAATAAGAATGGTCTCTGTCTCACGGTGGCTGTGGGGTGAGGGAGCATGAGTGAAGCCAGCACAGCTCCTGGAGCCATGCCCGGCAGGCTGGCAACCCCCGTCCGGTGCACAGGGGCCACTGTCCTGGGCCCTGTGGTGCATGGCACTCAGGTGTGCGGGGGAAGCTTTTCCAGGCCCGCTTCTCGTTGTAAGGAATAGGATTTAAAGTTCATCCCGGGAGGTGAAAGTGGGGGAGGGAGCGTGGACAGCATGGGCTGTCCCTGACGTGTCCCTCCTGGGCTCAGGGCTCACCGTTCCCACATTGAAGGCAGCTGTGCCCACGGACTGCTCTTCCACGCTTTCCAGGAGAGCCCTGAGTTTGTATAAATTATTCACCAAAAAAAAAAAGAGAGAGAGAGAGAACATCATGGGGTGTATTTGTATCTGGTTTGAAGTTTCTAGCAACACATCACTTCTAAGAAAAGCTCCAAGCCAAAAAACAAACAAAAAAACCGCCGGACCACCAAACCCTTTTCCCGGCTCCCCCAGCCCCTCTGCACCCTGGTGTGGCTGAGAAAGCACGAGGGGCAGCATCTGTAGGTGTTCTGGGGCGTCCCAGGTCTCTGCCTCACGACGGCATCTGAAGAATGCCCGGCGTGTGTCTGTCTGAAGGCGCGGGTACCTGCCCAGCTCTGGCAGCCCGGCGGGAGCCCTCTCCCTCCTCCCAGGCAGAGATGCTCCTCTGCGCGGTGCAGTCACCACCTCTGGGAGATCCATGCTCAGCATCTGTCTTGATTTCCCATCCTTGTTGGGATGGGTCTTCCAAACTTCTAGGCCCAGTAGGGCTAGCTGCTCTTCTCCCGGGCTGGCATCTCCTCTCCCACAGCCGGGCAGTTACAGGGCCTTCTCCTGAAAAGCCTTTTCCAGTCTGAACACAGTGCTATGGAGTCGTTTGGATGGACTCCTTAAGCCTCGGTCTCAGTGCTGAATGGTGGTGCTGCCGTCAGCACCAGCGGGCCCGTCCCTTGCTCCTCTTGCCTCTCTGCCTTTAGCCCCCAAGGCAGCCACCCCATGCAGACCCTTGCAGAGCACCTCCTGTGTTCTGGGCTTGGTGCCGGGCACAAGGGATGGAGGCGACTGGGATCCTGCCACTTTGGTGGCAGATGAGTGAGTGGAGGGGTCAGAGGGCCCCTGTGGGGGTGGGGCAGGGCTGTGCTCATGACCCGGGTATGCAACTGGGCCTGTGGGATCATGACCAGTGAGCTCGGTTCATCATGGGCAGCCATCTAGCGGGGATGCATTTGGTCAGTGGCTCTGTGGGAGGAGCTGGTACCCGGGCCTAGGGGGTGGGTGGGGAAGAGGGCATGGAGACAGCTCACCCTGACCACCCGCTGTAGGTAGCTCTGGGGTAGGGGCAGGTGCGCTGAACTGGGGCAGGTGCGCTGAGCTGGGGCAGGTGTGCTGAACTAGGGCAGGTGCGCTGAGCTGGGGCAGGTGCACTGAGCTGGGGCAGGTGTGCTGAGCTGGGCCGCCTGGCAGGTATAGCACTTGCCCTCTCCCGGTCTCTCCCAGGTGACCTGTTGGGGGATTTCAGGTCATGTCACACACATCCTCCCAACTCACAGCCAAGCCAGAGGAGGGCCTGTGGCTCCATCCTGTCCCAGAGGGTGTGTCCGGAGGGGACACTGACCGGCAGGCAGACCAAGAGCCTCTGGGACTGCTCCTGGAGAGGGCGGGTGGTCTCAGGGGAAGAGGCAGATACGGAGGCCCACAACTTCAGGCCCTCTGTTTTGGAGTCTGGTGCACATCTGCCTTCCCATGGCTCATCCGGTGGCCAGGTATGACCGCCACCCCTTGCTGGCCTCATCTTTTGTGGGACTGCCCAGCGGGCCCAGGCCTGATCAGCCAACAGGGGCCACTTTTGAGGCATCCAGAATCCAGGCCAAGTGTGCCTGTGTTCCTGGGGCGGTGGCCCAGGCCTGGGACGTTTACTTAAGAGCTCGGGTGTGGCCTCCTGGAAAACAGTACCCGCTCACATCCTGTCCATCCAGGCCTGGCGTACCTCTTGCTCAAGAGGAGAATTAATCCATGGGCCTCAGGTGAAATGCCAGCTTCCACCCCTGGGACTCATGTGTGTGGCTCCCAGATGTGTGAGCACCTGCTGCGCGTGGGTGCTGGGCCAGCTGCAAGGACACGGCAGGCTCATGCCCAGGGACTCCCCTGGAGCCACACAGCAGGAGCAGAAACCACAGGAGCACTTGAACCCACCTGGAAGCCCCCAGAGGCTTTCTGCCAGAGGGGGCACTGGGGCAAGGTGGAGGCACCAGGGCAAGATGGGGGCTGTTGTAGCAGCTCTGGGACCTGCGCCTTCCCTGTGAATAAAAACGCGGCACACAGCATTTGGAGAACGCTTGTGGTTTATACAGCACGTGCACAGCCAGATTCTCCTGGGTGCCCCGCTGACCCCCTGGGATGGGTTTTCTGGTCCCAGCAGACTCATGAATGCCGGTCACAGGGGGAAGGGGCTCCAGAACATTTCTGTGAATTGTCTCAACGTTCTTGTGAGGCAGGTATGATCATCCCCATTCCACAGATTAGAAAACTGAGGTTCAGACAGCTGGAGGGCCGTGATCACTGTCTTTGCCCTTGCTGCTCCACACCCCGGTGGTCACCCCAGACTCCTCCGGCTTTCCCCGGGGGCTTTTGCCTGGCATGTTTTGCTCTCCTGATTTTGAGCACACCCCAAGACTTTCCTTCTGCTCATTACCAGGGCAGCAGAGGGTCTGGGGCACAAGGAGAGAGAGGGGCCCTGTGGTGGCCGAGACATGGGGGGGACTGCTCCGAAGCCCAGCAGCCCTTGGAGAATGTCGCCAAAGTCCCAGACCTCCCCCAAGAAAAGTCCAGGGATATGTGTCTCTCACACACACCTTTGGCAGCCATCCCCAGGGACTCCAGGTTGAGAAACTCTGGCCTGAGCCACCCCCAGCTGTTGACAAGAGGTAACGACCCCACTAGTGATGGGCCCTCCATGCCTCCATCTGCCTCTGCCTCTGCCCACCCCGGCCACGACCCCAGCCTGGCTCACAGCCGGACGTCCATCCAGCAGAAGGTAAAGGGGCACCCGAGGCCATGGGCAGGCTCTCATGGAACCACCGGCAACATCACAGCCTTGGAGATGAAGGGGCAGCCTTGGCTGGGTCGGGGACAGGACACGTGAGTTTGCTCTGGTCCAGTAAAGATGCTTTCAAGGCAGCACAGTTGTTAAAGAGAGTGGCCTTCGGGGTCAGGAATACCTGGCTTTGAACTTCGGCTCTGCTCCTTCCCAGCCTCCCTCCTCCGAGCCTCAGTTTTTCATTTGTGAGATGGGGATGGGAAAGCACCCACCTCATGGGGCTCCTGGGGGGTGCAGGAACCTCCTGGGGCCTGGCTAGCAGGCTCTGGGTCTCTGGCGGCCACGGTCATGCATGTTCCCCGGCGTGGAGGGGCGTCTCTTTCCATACGTGCTTCTGGCAGTGCTGCACAGTGTTGCACAGCTTGGCGGCCTCCTGGCTCCTGCACCAGAAGCTTGGGCCCAGGGCACACTGGTCAGTGCCCAGCAATGGGGTCCTGGGGCCGTGACAGGCCCCCACCTTCTTGCACACAGCCACAGGGTCCACCATGTCCTTGAGACTCTCGATAAGCACAGGCTCATACTGGGTGACGAAGTGCTTGCACTGGATCATGTAGGGCAGCGGCAGGATGCTGCAGGCACCCTTGAAGGCCATCAGGATGTCTCGCTTGGTGCTCTTGCTCTCCAGGTTGTGGGAGGACACCGTGAGCAGCCTCTTGCACCCATTGCAGAAGCTGCCCTGGTTCTCCGCGTCCCACTCTGGGGACGGCATGACGGCATAGGCGTCAGGGAGTGCTCGGGACCGCCTCCGGTTGCCACACAGACGGATGAACCTGCACACCTTCTCTGGGGTGATTTTGGCCACAAGCTGCACCAAGGAGGGGCTGTAGGTGTCCACCAAGATGATGCACTCCTTCCTGATAGAGGCAGGCATTACCGAGCACACGCGCTCCAGGGCGTGGGTGATCATGAGCTCAGAGCTGTTGGACATGAGCCAGTGGTCCAGCTTCTGCACCACGCTCATGCACACCTCACAGGTCACGCCGGCCTTCATCTGCATCTCGCTCTGTTTCCTTGGCAACCCCAGCTCCAGGGAGGGGACCCCGTCCATGGCCACTACTTGAGTCAAGTGGGCAGGTGCCCCTAGCTCCTCACAGAATCCCCCCTTCCCACAGAGCTCCTGCGCGGGGAGAAGGCTCAGTGCTTGCTCAGCAGGGACGAAAAACTGACGGAGGTAGTTCTTGCAGAGGACAGCCAGGCCAGGCCCCAGGGACTCACACTGCTCCTGGATGTTCAAGTCTGCCAAGGTCAAGTTGGACCGGACAGCCTCCTGGAGTCGGTAGACCTGTCGTACACAGTCTTGGCACAGAGCTCCTTCAGGCACCTGGGGAGGGTGGAACCTAAGGGGCCCATTGGCCATGAATGGAGCCACAGCCTCAGAGGTGTCCCCTTTGGAGAGTGGCCCCAGGGTGGCCAGGTGCCTCTGCAGCGGCTCACAGAGGCTGAGCGCTGTGCACACCTGTGCCGGGGCGCTGTCCGGGTCCCCGTGGAGCATGCTCAGGATGGCTGAACTGTGGGCATCCACCATCCACTTGCATCCGGCTGAAGACTCCTGGCTGGGGAGCCACTCACAGGTCTTCATCACCAAAGCCAGGATGTCAGACTCCGTGGCGTCAGGGTTCAGCCCGTTGCCAGCGGCAGCTGCTATGTCCTGGCATACGTCACAGGGCAGAGACTTCACGGTGGGTTTGTTCCATACGGCCCCCTGGCAGTACCCCACGGCCCCGCACCTGGTAGCTGCCTGCAGATCCTGGCACCACACCGTGGAGCCCTTTGCACACTCCTGGGGGCCTGAGGTGGGGCTGGCCCTGGTGGCCCCCAGGAGGCTGGGAAGGAGGAGCAGGGCACACAGCATGCTGCCCAGGGACTCTCTGGCTCCAGAGCACTCAGCAGTGGCTGCTGCTATAAACCCGGCTCTCCTGCCTGGCCCCAGAGGAGGTGCAGAAGGGCGGCCCCACCTCCTGGCCACTCCCACAGCCTGACACACACCCTGTGCCCGGGGGTTCCTGGCCTCTTGGCCTTTGCTCTTGCAGTGCCCGGAACACTATCCCTCCCCTCTTTTCCCTTGGATAAGACAAACTCTTACCAGTTTTCTGAGCCTAGTTGATATGTGAATGAAGCTCAGCTCCTAGGAAATCCTCCTGGCTGGGCTGTGTCCCCGCCTCCCCCTGCTGCAGTAGTTCCTGGGGTTCCCTTCCCTGTGGCTCACTGTCCTCTCCTGACTTGTTTGTGTGGCCTGGGTCCTCTCTTGGAATGTGGGGCCCCCCGAGGAGTCTCTGCCCCCATTCTGGGAGGTACAGAAAGGGATCCTCTGCTTTATATTTGCTGAAGATTGAGTGATGCCAATGACTGGCCACCCCCTGGATGCCACTGTTTTCTAATGTGGCCTCAGGGCCATGTGCCCAGCCAGGGTTCTGCCAGGTCCTGAGCCCAGCCGGTGTTTTCATTCTAGAAATGTCAATCAAAGGTTGAGTGTGGGCTGGTCCGTGGTAGGTGTGGATTAAATGTTTGTTGAAGGCACACACACACAAAAAGTGTTTGTTACATTTCTGTGTCATCTGTTATCTTATCTTTTCCTTCTGCCTTAGTTTTAAAAATAGTTCTTAGGCGAGAGAGTCAGCTGGGTGGGCACGCACAGGTGCTTTGTGTCAGGTCCTGTTCATTAAATGGAGAATTCTGGAGTCAGCCTCACCTCTGGCCTAATTGCTACACAGTCAAGGAGTGGGCAGGCCAGAGGTTTGATGGCAGGGGCTCCCCTAGCCCCCCATGTGGGTGTCCTCAGCTCAGCTTCCTCGGCTTGGGTGCTCCGTAGGAACACACTTCCCAGTTATGTGGGTCAGGCAGCCTGGCCTGAAATTGCAGCAGCCACTCATGAGGAATGCGGTAGTGCAGGGTGCTTCCCGCCAACCCTCCTGCTGGGTGCAGGGGTCGGGAAGAGAAGATGGAAAATAGGATTTACTGAGTTCTTGCAGTGACTTCCAAGGACTCTGGTTGCTGGGGACCGGTGGAGGGGACGGTCTTAGGGAACAGGTGAGTCTGGGTGTGCTTAGCTGCAGGATGGCAGCTGGCCAGCACCTCCAGGTCATACCCCAGGTGGGGCTGGAGACGTACGTGGGTGTCCTTATCTAGACTTGACTCAGCCAAGCGCGTGTTGATGTATTTCTATGGGCTTATGGTGGGCCTGCCATTCATTCAGTCCATCACCTGACATTTCCAGGGCACCCACTCACATCCCACCAGGACTTTGGGCACCAGGCTGAAGCAAACAGAAGGCCCTGCCCCTTGGTGTGAACACAGCTGCATGCCAGACTTCCTGCGAGTCCCTCCAGACCCAGCCCCCACTGCGCTGCCTTGGTCTCTTGCACTGAGGGGGTGCCATCCAGGAGGCCAGAATGTCCTCCTCATCCTGACATCCCTTGAGCCTAGCACAACACCCCGATGATGAAGGGCTTCTTGGCTCAGCCTTGTCTTTACAAGATTGCCCCACGCTGCCGTGTTTATCTGTAGAGCCGACATTCTTGTTTCTGGGTAGAATTCCACTGGGCAGGTGGAATGCCCCGCTGGGTCCTGGGTGTGTATTAATTAGGTCAGTGCACCACTACGGCGGATTTGTCTACTCTACCCTTGATTGGCCTTTGGGCCAGTTCCACTTGGGAGCTAGTAGGAGTAATGCTGCCCCGAACGCTTCTGTGTATGTCTTGGATGCACACGTGTCTTCCCTTCTCTGTTGGGTATTACCGGGGAGCGGCACGGATTGGGCATGCGTAGTGTGTGTGTGCTGAGCAGATACTGCTGGATTGATTTCCAAAGTGGTTGTGCCCGTTCCCACTCCCCTCAGCAGCATTTGAGGAATTCCGATTGCTCCATGTCTGTTTAGTTTCGGGGAGTGGGGTGTTTTCCAACACCAACGACCGATTCTTACAGATGCCAACTGGGTGCCCTGTAATTCCTTTCAGTTCTGACACCAACTACCCGGAGTTAGCACAGGCCCCACAGGTTAAGGGTTCAGCCCCTGCTTTAGAAGCTATAATCACAGGTCCAAGGTTGGCACCTGTACTTCTAATGAAGTGGCTATAAATTGGGGTCCTGCAACCCCCTCCTCGGGTTTGATAGTTCTCTAGGGTGGCTCACAGAATTCAGGAGGCCCTTTGCTTACATTTCTTATTTTTCATGAAAGATATGACTCAGGAGGCCATGCACAAGGCAAGGACTAGGGGCCGGGGTGCAGGACTCCCACACCCTCTGGGTGTGCCACCCTCCTCACGCCCCCATGTGTTCACCAACCAGGAAACTCATCAAACTTCATTGTCCAAGAGATTTTCCAGGGTTTAATCTCCAGCAGCCCCCACTCCTTCCCAGAGGCCAGGGGATGGGGCTGGACATTCCAGTCCTCGAGTGGCTTGGTCTTTCTGGTGACCAGCCCCATCAGAGGCCATCTAGGGACCCCACCCTAGGTCACCTCATTAGCGTAAACTCAGGTGTGGTCAGAGGGGGTCGTTATGAATAACAAAATACACTTCTGTCACTCAGCAAATTCCAAGGGTTGGAGCTCTGTGCCAGGAAGTGGGGACAAAACCAAACACATTTTTTTTTAATACGGGGTGGGGGGGATGATGCTGGATTACGTAAAGATGGCTGCAAGAACGGTGCAAGGCACTCCCAAGTACCTTTGCCCAGACGCACCTGCCCCACTTGCTTCGAGGTTCTCACTGCTTCTCCCTCCTTTCCTCTCACCTGTCTGTCCACCTACCTAGCCACCTACCTGTCGGTCCACACACGTATGTATTTGCACATATTTGTTTTTATAACCTTTGAGCATAGGTGGAGACATTGTATCTCTTTACCCCAGTTACTTTGGTGCCTATTTCCTAAGGACCAGGGCATTCTCTCATAACCAGGGTACATTTATGAAAATAAAGAACTGCAGTGTGGATACAATACTAGAATTTAACCCACAGCCCAGTTCAGCTTTACCAGCAGCCCTAGTGCTGCCCCATGTGGCATTGATTTCCCAGGTCTAGCCCCAGTCCAGGCACCCTGGTCATGGTGCCTCAGTGGCCTTCCATCGAGAGCTGATGGCAGCTTTGTGTTTTCTTTTGTAGCACTGGGGAACCAGCTGGTAATTTTGTAGAATGTCCCTCCCTGCAGGTCCGGCTGGGCTTTCCTCATGACCAGACCCAGGTCATGCATTGCATAGGGAGGCTTTGTTGATTTATCAACATGCATGATCTTTGATCACTTGGAGAAGATATACCAGTTTCCTTCTCTGTAAAGTTATTTCCTGCTTGTAATTAATAAGCGACATTTAGAAAGGTATCTTGAAAATATGTAACGATCTTATTCCTCATGAAATGTTTGTGCATTTATTTGAACACCTGCCCATCATTTTCTAGCCCTGTCTTCCTTCTATGTTAATTAGTTTGTATTCTTTTGTGAATAAAAAAAGCTTTATCTCCCCTTCCTCTCTCCTGCCTTCTGTTCCCTTCTCCTCCCTCCCTCCCTGCCTCTCTTTTTCCTTCCTTCCTCTTTCCTTTTTTCTTTTTTAAAAGACTCAGAATTATTTTTTACTTTCTTATTTTTTTTTTAAGTTTATTTAGTAGACTATAACCCAACACACCTGTCCCACTTGCTTCGACGTTCTCACCACCCCTCCCTCCTTTCCTCTCACCTGTCCACCTACCTACCCACCTACCCAACTGTTCCTACACATGTATATATTTGCACATACTTTTTTCATATCACTCATTGCTTTTGATGCCAAAATTGTCCCAGATGTGATCTATGGGAGTCCCCTCAGGCATCATTCTTTGGCACTTCCATACTTTCCGGCACAAGACATATTCCAGGCTCATCTTTTGCATTCTTTGAACCAGCCCTGGAATCAGCCTGTTCTCCAGGGATCATGGTGTTTAGAAACCAATATCTGGATATGAAATGTGCTCATTGCTCCTGTGCTATCATGCCTATTAGGCCCTCTGAGTGAAAACCTTACCTCTTCCTGACATGGGGTGAAAGAGGAAGGAGGGAGGGATGGTGTGCACAGGGAGAAATATAGAAACATTCACAGACATAGAAACAATATATATATATACACACACATGCACACACACACGTGTATATGTAACATATGCATCCATCTTCACAAGACTACGAGTTCACACTGTTACTTCCAACACTCAGGGCAGTGTAACTCCCCTGCCCAAGAGTGAGAGGCTTGGCTCCCATGACCTTTAACCTATTTACCCCTTACTGAACCCTAGAATATAACCAAGCCATTTTAGAAACACCACTGTGAAATGCAAACCCTGCTAACTAGAGCTCTTTCTTGCTACACATTTCTCTTTATTCTGTTGAGATAAATTTCACATACAGCTAAACGCACACATCTTCACACACCTGCAGAACGCACACCCCAGTCAAGGGGCAGAATGGTCCCGCGTGCTTCTTCCCAGTTACTTGTCAATGAGAGCAAACACTTTTCTTCCACAGATTAATTTTGTCTGTTCTTGAACCTCGTATTGGTGGAGTTGAACAGGAGGGAAAGGATGTCCTCTGTGCCTGCCTCTTTCGCTTGATGTTATGAGATCCAGGCATGTTGTTCCCATGACTGTAGGCTGTTCCTTCACCTTGCTGGGCAGTGCTTCATTGTGTGGCTTTCCCACACTCTGTTCATCCACCCTGAGCTGGTGTGGGATGGTTTCCAGTTTGGGGTTATTCAAACATGGCTGCTCCAAACAACTTGGTGACATCGGATGGTGTGCAGAATGTTTCTGTAGGGTGTGCACCTGTGCGGGCAGGTGGGTGTGTGCTGAGCAGATTCCCCAGGACTTCTCCGAAGTGGCCACACCAGCTGCTGTCACCCACCCGTGTTGCTGGTGCTGGTTGCTGCATGTGGCTCTGATTTCACCCCTTCCGAAAATGCAGAGAGTGG